TTGTGCGGAATGAAGACCACCATAGTTCCGATCATCATAGGCACAACTGGCGTCGTCCTGAAAGACCTCAAAGGACATGTCAAGAAGCTGGAGTGTGAAATATCACTGGATATTCTCCAGCGTACAGCAATCTTGGGCACGGCCAGCATCCTTCGCCGTGTCCTTCAGAATTAAGACGAGTATGAGGTCTGGGATGTGGTTCATCCCCCCTCATATCTCCAATACCGGCAGGTTGCCGTGGAAGGATTTATTTTTATATATATAATCCATTCATATTCAGGGTGTCCCAGAATTCCTGTCACGTTTTACTTTATTTTAATTTTCTTAACGAAAGCTAAGGTGTAGGGCAGCGATTCCCAAACTTTCGAGCTCTGCGTACCACTTGACTCCATATGTAGTGTACTACCGCTTGTCCTACATATGGATATCCCACAAAAGTATATAAGACTAGTACTTCATTGCGCAAGTTTCTAATAATAAGTCTGTTTGGAAACCTCTTGCGTAACACCTGGCATTGCCTCTTCTACCACCAGTGGTACGCGTACCACAGTTTGGGAACCGCTTTTGTAGGGTATAGGACATCCTTACAGTACTAACAGTAACAACGCCCAGATTACCTGTTGAAAGAAAATACGTGAATTACCAATGTACGTAATAAATATATTGAGAAACCGTTTCACTAAGAAAGAAAAAAAGTAACGAGAATTATGGGGACACCCTGTACAATATATAAAAGGCTAATCTGTCCGTGTGTCGTTCTGGGAAATTCCTAGACGGATGAACGGATTTTCATGAGTGAGGTGTCAATTGAAAGTGAATGACCTGGAGGCGATACTAATTGGATCAAAAGTAAAAAAAAAATATTTCATCTTGACGTAGTATGGCCACATTTTGGCAATTAGAATATCATTGTGCTGAATGCCTTCCCGGGCGATGTGCTCACAACCGAGAATACGAGCGATTGTCAGCTACGGACGTAGTTGCTATGGCAGCTGCTGGCAATTATCTTCATATGTCATAGTTTTGTCATGTTACCTGTCCCGTCGCCGGTTTACCACAGTGCTTCACTTAAGTCTGCAGCATTCAGTTAGTGCTCTATACCAGTGGTTCCCAATCTTTTTTTTATTTGCGGCACACATAAGGACACTTGAACTTTCCACGGCACACCCAGCCATTTACTTACTTCGAATGGGAAACTTGTGCTTGCTGGTTTTTGGAACACAGCAGTTTGATACGAGGCGTGATAGTGCAACTCTCAGCTCGTTTTCCACTGAGATGGCGTTTCCTCTTGTTCTTAAATTTTTTAGTTTTAGTTTTTTTTTGTCGACTCTCAAATCTCACGGCATACTTAAGCCTTAATGGCGGCACACCAGTGTGCAAGTCACTGTGTGCGCGGCACACAGTTTGGGAAACACTGCTCTATACTACTGTTTTTTAATTTTGATGTTGCTCTGAAAATGCCACGAAAAAAACGGGAAAGTTTAAACCATTCTGTGGGGCTATCTACTGAACGTAAGAGAAAGAGAGACGTTCTGTTCTGGAGTCACAGCCCAGAAAGGTGTGCACGAAATATACTGGCGTCCAAAAGAAACGCTACAAGGTAATTTAGAGCTCGCTCGCGTCGTAGGAGTTGTGATAGCATTATATCTGTCTTTTGCTGAACAAGCCAGTCCCTGCTTTAACATTATTAGTGTTTACTTGCCAACCTTTGAGCGTTGGACAATGGGACAATGCCTAATTAGGTTTTCTCCATGCCATATGTAAAGTTGAAATTTTCATGGACAAAAAATGGACTTATTTCATTGTGCATGTCATTCCGTCTCCGAAAAACATCAGAGATATGCCAAAGCTAATGCAGCAACAAAGGGACAGGGCGATGAAAATGCCCCCAGAGGGTGTAACGCAACAGGAAGTCGCGCGGCGACTCGAATGAGCTCGTGTGACCTAAACCGGATTGTATCTACACTTCATCAAAACTGGCAGAACACAGGGTGGATTTTTGAACAGAGCACTATCCGATAATGCAGCTTTATTTAAGAGAAAATGCATTATAAATCCGGCAAAGAAGCTGCATTATCGGATAGTGCTCTGTTCAAAATTCCGCCCATAATTTTGAGAATCACTACATTTCTCAAGGTCAGGTGTTCTGCCAGCTTGTTCCAAGAAGGTCCAAGATGGTGTAATGCATGTTGCGTTACACCCTCTTGGAGCATTTTCGTTGCCCCCGTCCCCTTGTTGGTGCGTTACGGAACGGAATTTAAAATGCACGTTTGTCGTCTTCCCTGGAATTGCCCGAAATGGATTTTTATTTAAGGGATTGTTAGTATATACAGTATTTTAAGAATATAACCTTCACGCTTAAAACGTTCCTCCATCCTGCCACCCTCTAGTGATACGTGTGTGTGCTGTTTTCCTCATTGTAGTTTTACCCCTAAATGTGATTTGAGGATTTCCCAGCTGAATAGGGCCAAGAATTGCATTTGAAGGAGGGTTTGCGAACCTGAAAAGGATTTCTTGTCTCTGCTCGTTAGCAAATGACTCATTCGTAAACTGGGGCAGGCATTTCCCTCATGCGGAAATGATAGCCCTGAAGAGATGAGGAGAGATGCATTTGCAATGCCTTTCGTTTTTCCTTCTCCGTAAGGGAGTATCATGTTCTTCAGCAGATTTTTTTTGCTGGATTTGAAATGAAAAGTCAGTGATAGGTTCTTTTCCTAGAAGCTTTATTTAAAGCTTTTAAAGATGCACACACTATATACAAGAAAGCAGCAATTTTCGCTTTTCAGTGTCTTCTAAGTGGTTTGGAATGGTTTTTCTCCTTTAGGTTGAAGCTTTTTTTCAACTCCTTTTGCATCATTCAACTCATTGAACGAGATTGATCCATTTTCCAACTAGAGAGAGAAGAAAAACACTTAGACGAAGACAAAGTCTCCAAAGAAGGTGATCACAAAAGCAAACTCTCGCTCTTACACGGCAGAGGATTTGAAAGCTGATTTGGCAGAGGTCACATCTCGTACAGAAAAGTTAGTACAACATGTGTAGTTTCGGTAGGCACACTACACGATAAGGTGAGTGGAAGGTGGTCTGAAGCTCTGTCATCACCACCCGGAACCTCAGAAGAAGAGCAACACCTTGTTGATTGGATTGAGGACATGGCAAAGATTGGCTATGGCAGAACAAGGGAGGAACTCCAGGAGATTGTAAAAAGAAATCCTTGACGGCGAGAAACTAGAACCTACCTTTCCTGACAACAGACTTGGTAAGAAATGGTTCTGTCCTCTCCGCCCTCGACACCCAGAAGTTTCTGTTAGGCTTCCTGAGAATATGGGGAAAAAACGATCGATGCTGTCATGGGAAAAAATTTGCAAGTGGTTTGAGGACCTGGAAAGCTTTCTCCTGAGATGAGCACGGATTCCCACAAATCTTTTGTCTCTGAAAACAGTCCAAGAATTTTCAATGCTGACGAGACGGGCTTCAGTCTCCAGGGTGGTAGGATGAAGGGCCTCGCAAAAGCGGGGAGAGAATTGTTTCTTAGATAGCTTCATCTGCAAGACAACAAATAATTGTTCTTGTTTGCTGCTCTGTAGATGGATCATTTCTACCACCAATGTGGTATTTTATCCAATGTTGTATCCAATGTTGGATTTTATCCCGGGAAACACTTCCATCTCTAGAGCAAATTCAGGGTACTCAACCAGATGAATATGCTGTCGGCATATCTGAGTCAGGCTGGATGAATGGAGACTTTTTTGTTGTTGCATGAGTCAGAAATATCTTCTTCCCCCATGTAGAGGGGAGGAAGATTGAAAGACCGGTAATTCCCTTTGTTGATGGACCCGCAAGCCACTTTTCGCCAAAGACTGGAGTTTTTTTGCGGAGGAAATGGCATTATCCTTCACTGCCTACCCTCTCACAGCTCTCACGTGATGCAGCTGTTGGTTGTGGGAGTTTTTTTTCATCTCTGAAAAAGAAATGGAACCGTGCTGTAAGGAATCGCATGTTTGAAGTAGGGACAGAAATAAACAGGAAATCTTTCCTTTGAGTGTTCATGAAAGTTTGGAGAGATGTTTGCAAACAAGAGAATCCTAAATCAGGATCCAGGCAAAGGGACCTCCTTCTCTACAGATATGCCATTTTCCAAGACAAGTTGTATGTATCACATATCTACAGGGAAATTGGGCAAGGGAGAGGTCGACTGCAACAGATGCGGCCATTCAAACAGAACCTGTTACTGTTTATCTTCTCTCGTGGACCTGCCAAGACGTTGAAGTTCAAGTCCCAGATGAAGAAGGATCTGCAATAGCAGACTTTAAAATTGTCGCCAATGAAGTCCTTTTACCTGTTGAAGGTACTAAAACAGGGGGAGAAGAGAAGAAAAATCATATTTGCTTGTAGACCTAGAAGTTGCTGCTGACCGAATCTTGGTCCATGGAGTGCAAGCTCAGAAATTGGAAGCAGATGGATCTCTTCTAAGAGACTTCATGGTGGCTGCTGATGGAACATTGATACCTGTTTCCAATGAGGAATCTCCTTGCACCAAGGATAATCAAATCAGGGAAGTTTCACCGAATGTTGAGAATAAAAGTATCATCATCCACATTCCTGGCACATCAGCAGCAAGTATCCACAAAACTGGTCTGCAGGTTTCTGTCTCACGAGTGATGATGATGGCAGAGTGCAGGCCCTCATCAGTAGCATCCCAAGTGATACAACTTTTGCCAAATCCTCAATTTTGAAATGAGGATAGTCCTCCAAAAACTACCGAAGCGCAGAGGCAACGCAGTTTCCAGGACTCGCCTTTCAAATCTCTTTTGCGTTTACTCGAGAAGACACTAAAGAGTGAGAAGAGAAAGGTTATCGATGTGAAGTTTCCTTGTGCAGTATCAGGGAAAGCGCTGATGAAGATAAAATTACTGTAGATGAAGAGGAGAAAGAGAAACAGAAGGGAAAGCGAAAAATACGAAGGGAGCGAGGAAGTGCTTCTGGAAATTTAACAAGACCTGCTCAAAAGAAACTGAATTTGGGAAAATAAAATGTGGAGTTTGTGGAAATAGAATCACATGAAACCCCATGGCAGACGAGGACTGTGACTACATGTCAAGTTTGTGGAAGATCGTTCCGTAAATGATGCATTGGATTAGAGCTAATTCACATTGACGTTTTGAGTTCAATGG